TGATGAAAGCATGAATATGATGCAAGTAGGTAGACAGAAGAATACAAAAAAAGGGGACTATAGAAAAATAGGATGCAGAAAAGGCTTGGCAAATACACATATAGGCAAGCAAATATGAATAAAACCACCTAAAAAGATCTATGCTGACTGGCAACTAGTCAATACAAAAAACACACGAATTTAGTGATAAGGCTAATTTAAGTTAGCGAGAATCAAAAAAATAGTGCAAATGCGTTCTTATAAAAATCAATTTTCGAAACCAAGTACATTTTAGCTATCAAAGTGGCTTACATGACTATTCTTAAATCAGCATAATAAGTGCCAACGTAGGCCATTTGTTGATTCAAAGCCTGAGAATTTAGCTTTCCTATTAATTTTACTTATTTTTGGTATGTGAGTAGAGTTTCGAGACTAACAGTAAATCATTAATATGAGATGTATTTACCCAATTCCGTTTAAGGTGATGAAGGACTGGTAGTATAATTTTCCCACAATGATATGAGTAGAGCTGAGGTATACATTCAATTTCACATAATCTTGATTTCCTAAAAGTTGTTCTCATCCAGGGTGGTCTGTAGTTTCGACCTCGCATAGGTCTAGTCGTCTCGAAACTCTACTTACATATGAAAAATAAGTAACGTAGTCGATTGTTATAGCAAATATACGTTTGCTTCATTGACACTCCAACAAAAGAATGTGATATGGGAAAGGGCCTGGCCTTCCTTGAAATTCACATCTGTCTTGTGACCTTAAATAACTCGTGGCAATGTCGCCGAGTGGTTAACGTGTCAAGCTCAAATTCTGCACTGTCACGGTTCGACTCCCACTAGGGTGTGTTGATAAGACCTATGCGAGGTCAAAACTAAGGTCCACTCTGAATGAGAAATTTTGGGAAAGCAAGGCTATGTGAAATTTAATGGAAACGTCAGCTCTATTCATATCATTGTGGGAAAATTCTACTATCAGTCCTTCATCGCCCTAAACGAAATAGGCTGAATATATCTCATAATTTTACTTAGCCTTATTTACAAAAAAGCTCTCTAATCTGGGATAAACTGGAGTCTCGACTTCGTCCAAGCCGCCCTAGCAACACTAAGATAATTAGAAATCCAGTATTTTAAATCAAGTATAAGCAAGTAAATACTTAACCACAATGCCTGAGTCTAAGGAAAATGTAATTCTATTTGACATTGGTAATGAATAGGAGTGTCACTAAAATAAACCCATAAGCTGATAAAACGAATGATTGCGAATTTATGCAGCGAAGGCCGAATTATATATCCTGATTTGATTGTTACCCCAAAGATAGCAACCCTTAAACATGTTTGATTCTTTCTAGGATTAAAAAATAAAAGCGCCCACAAAAGCAACCTTATTAATAGAAGTAACAACGAGACTAGATACAAAATAGCGGCCGGAGAAAAAACTATAGGGGAAAATATCATCGCAACTCTTTTAAAAATAATATCCCAAACCTTGTAAAATAACCAACAAAATACCACACATTAAAAATCGATAAACATGAATTAAATTCAATAGTAAAAAAACTCTTGAGCTTAATTTCAGCGCCAACACATCGGCATACTCAGCGAACACCATCTTTAAACATCCCAAATATGATAGTGATCAATTTTAAATCAAGGAAAATCTTACTCTTAGCTAAAAAATATGCCAAAGTACTTCGATCCATTACAAGTGCCATACTTCTGGCCTACCTTTATAGTCAACTGACAGTGGCGCTGTAGTGGCCAACTGCATGTCCGGCAGTAAAGTAAGGGAGGGGAGATGGCCATCGGCAATCGCAGCCTGCCGACGATGGTGTTGCAGGCCTACGGACAAACGACAAAGTGAAGCTTCTGTTGCAAAGTGTCGGTAGAGGTCATTGTTCCTGGCATGAGATTCGTCCTCATTGGTGTTTGTAGTTGAGAGCGTCATGGAACTCTGATTAAAGTCAGTCTCAGCATGATTAGGCACAGATGTTTGGCAAGGAGGTTCATCAAAGGCATGCCCACCACCAGAGAGAATGTAATAAGCAAGGAGACCACAAGCGAAGATATCTACAGCCGGAGACTGATAAAGACAAATGAGTGGCTAGTAAGATACCAATACAGTACGATAGGCAATGCATTTTAGGGTAAAACTAAAGGAAGCTGGTCGATACTGATAAAAGATTAAAAAAATACATAAATAAAAAATTGACACATCTAAGGTACAAATGTTGAATAAGCATATAGTAACCTATCCCTACACTTTTCAAATTCAATGTTTAGTTTTGTTACATACCATGCGTAGCCATGGCTAAACAGCCTTGGACACAGAGATCACATGAATGCATGACTAATCTTTACTCTTTATTTCGCGTCGACTAATCAAAGCTTGGTAACGCATCATCCAATGAGAAATTGACATGGAAAACTATACAATGGCATATCAAGAAGCTAACATCCTGTTTAGGTTGGTCACGTTTTCTTACTCCTCTTTCTCTCCTCCGTTGTGACCTGCGGAGTTCAGACTTTCTATTTCGCGCCCTTTTTCAATTATTATCTTTCTATTATCAGCTTCCCATACTGTATTCAGCCCTTTTTAAATAGGACACTTGGTAATATTATCTTTCTTTTTCTTTATTCATTCCTGGACCTCAAACTTTGGAGTTTTAGAGTGCGGTGTTGAGTTTATCTCTACCATGTATCGGGCATCAAATTAGCTAGAAAACATTCTATAACAAGATCGACAAAATAGGAAGCCAAATATGATGGATGGCATTTCTTATAGTCTGATTTTGCTATCCTAATTTGATCAGTTACTTCATGCTTCTCTTAACAAGCCTGAAGTAAATGTTGGAGTACTTTTCAGTTCGTCTAAAGAGGCGAGTGGAAGGAATTCGTAAGTTAGTCTCACCGGAACACGAAGTAGGGTTGCCTTGGAGAATGACTATAGATTTGTACAAATAAGTTCTCGACCCACTGTCCAGCAACACTGACAATTCCTTGCTAAGCTTTTGTACGTCATATGGCGGATATCGACAGAGCAGTACACCGCTAGGTAAGATAATTCACCAAAACAAAGCAGGGTTATAGCCTGACACCTTTCTTGTATTCATCTCTGGGTTGATTAACGTAAAGATGGTATCCTGTCCTGACAATGTCCGTCACACGACGAACGAAAGCTCGGCAAAGAGTCACTGAAATCGCAGGACGGTGAGGCGAGAACTTATTTACACAAATCTATAATCATCATTGCAAGTCAAACCCCACTCGACTCCTGATGAGGCCAACTTACGAATGCCTTTCGCCCATATCTTCAAACAAA